TCTCCTATGACTTCGAACACTTCTTACTAGTGATGAAGTGGGTCGTAAACATATCCGCGAACTGCGCCCAGCTTCTGATGGAACCCAGCGCGAGGTTTCTGTACCAGGTCTGAACTACTCCTCTGAATGTGGTGGAGAAAGCCACGCACATACAAGCCTTATCGGCCCCGGTGAGATGCATCTGGGACTGTAATGCGTCTACGTGATCGTTGTGATTAAAGGACCCATCGTACTTGTCTAGAGGCAGCACCTTGAAATCTTTCGGCATCGAGGCCACTAGGAGCTCAGGTGATAGGGGAAGGCCGGCTCAAAAGAGCAGGCGTTGTTCCTGTGGCCACCGAGCTCACATCCTCTCTTTCTCGACCTTGATTTGTTGGATGGTTGGGCTTTGCTGGTGGATCATTCCTTGCTGATGAACGGCGAGTCTTGCGACGTCACCACTGCTACTTCTTTGGTGGAGCGGCATTTGTACTGCTGGCCTCTGTGTTGTCAGGTGCTTCGATCTTACTCCAATTAGTAGGGCGAGGTGGTTTAGAGATTCTCCTCGCCGCTTTCTCTTCGTCGCGTGCTTGGTGCTGGATGTTGCGCAGAACTGAGGGGTCTCTTCTCGAGCCCACGCCTTGGGCCCCGAGCTGACGATCTTCATGACAATTTTGCTGACTACGCCTCTCGGGCTAGCTGGGTTCGGGCCTATCCCTTGAGCTCTCTCTTTGGGAAGCTGGGGAAGTACGTCAGTCGCCTACTGTACCCCACGGCAAGGTCCGTCCCAAGGGAGGGACCAATACCTGCGAAGTTCTTTCCCCACGGGGTGGGGGGGGGGTAGATTGGCAGACGTTCTGGTGAGCCCAATGCTGATTCTGGTTCTGGATTTGCCCTTGATGATGGTTTGTCGACTGGCTTGGTTGCAGTGGTGGGAACTACTGCTGATATTATTGGTAAAAATAGTACTGCTGAAACTGTTGGAACTGGTGGAACTGGTGAATCTGCTACATTTGGATCTGCATCGTTCGAATGCTCGGGATGAGGTCGTTGAACTGGGAGTGCCTGACCCCAAGGGGAATCACGGTTGGCTCCGAGAACATGGCGTTCACCTGGGGGAGCGAGGCACTCACCTATTGGGCAATGTGCGGCACGGACAATGATGAGACCTCGGAGACGGTTAGGGGAATGGTGAACTGGCTGATAGTCACCGAGGGTCCTTGGGGAGCGACTATCTGCTGCTCTTGCCCCCAGTAATGTTCATGTCACTCTTTCCGTTGTATCTAAATGATGCCATTGAGATTGAAACTGAGTCTGAGACTGTAATCAGAATTGGGATGACCTTTCAATCATTTTCACAGACGACGCCAATTGATAGTGCGCGATCTGGATACTCCTAGCTGGAAGATGACTTGGACCCTAGTCGCACGGCGAGCTGGACCAAGCTGCAAAATAAAAGATCAGAGAACCCGAGGTGGCTAACCTGGCGAGGCCACTCCGATTCCTAAGTCAGTATTGTATTGTGGATGCGAGTTGAATACTTGAGTGCTAGAGTGCTAGTGAGAAAATAACCGCACGTATATGTACCCTGGAGGGATCGATGCTCTTATATAGCTGAGCTATCATGGATTTCCCGAAACGGTTTCGGGATCTGTGGCCTGAGTGAATGAGATCCGTTTCCGCTTTATTCAGGGAGTAACGTATTAGTCAATGAAGTTTATCGTCGCCGCCCGATCTGGGCGAGGAAAGGATAAGGCCTGCCGTTACGCGGGGTGATCCCGTGATGTTTGGAGTCTACTGGGAAGCTTTTAAAATCAGTTACGTGTCACTTCGGTTCCTGGGCCCCGATCTTGATTAGGTGCTAGGGTGACTTTATGCCGAAGTGGCGTTATCCACCAGGGTAGGATATGTATATCTTGGCCTCTTCTATAATCAGGAAATGGAAATTTGCCTTCTACTAAACACCATGTTTGATTGGAAATAGGGCAGGTGATAAATATATGATTTATGTCTTCAGAATCTCGACAGAACAATCATTTTGGATTGCAATTGAACCCTATTTTGATATAAGAATTGAACAAAAAGCTGATAATCAACCAAACATTAATAAAAAAAAAACACTTTTTAGAACCCCTTTTGGCAGAAAAAGAAGACGAAAGAAAGAAAGAAAAAGCATTCCCAAGTACAGCTTTAAATTCTTAAAGTCAAAGGCGGTTTTGAAGAGTTCGCATCCTGTTAACCCTCTGGTTCATGGGAAGTGTGTAACTGCAAATAAAAAACAAACATGTTGTCTTCTTCAATTAACAAGGATTTAACGGGATCTCTCCCTTAACGATGGTCCAACCAATTGAACCGGACACTAAATGAAGAAAAACAACAAAATCCAAACTTCTGGACTTCCTCTCTCTAGTTCCAACTCTCCTCCCATCGTATCTCAATATGTTGTGACTAGACCACTGGCGAGATCACATCAACCAACGACCGGTATCTTGTAAGTTCCTCCCCCATTCTCTTCCTCTTTTCCTTATTCAGACATGGTCACGGAGAGGAAGGATAATGAGAGTGTTCATGCGGACATTGAGGTCAAGTTTATGCACCAGGCAATCCAGCAGCTCCCAACAAAGAATAAAGTAGATTAGCAAGAAAGTAGACTGACAGAAATCTTGCCAATAATAGCTTGGTCACACAGCTAGGGGCGTCAATTGGACTGGATTTGGTCCAATTCGATCAAGTCCAATGTGAGTCCATTACAAATGGATCAGGTCCAATCCAATCCATGAATATTTTGGACCGTTTTGGACTGATCCAATTCAATGTTTGGACCATCCAATCTGTTCAAATTCATTTTGATTTAGATTAGTTTCAATCCAAATCTGATTCATTAACATCTATATTCTTATCTTATATTAACGGATCATATATTGGCTTAATCCAACCCAATCCAATATAAATTTATTATGGATGAATTAGGTCCAATCCAATCTAATAAATATTTTGGACCGGATTGGCCTAATGCAATATGCCTTGTTGGAGTTTGATATGTTTGTCATCAAACATAAATAGCGCAAAGGAATAATATAAGTTGGTAGCAATTGAAATTGGAGTTTGATATGTTTGTCATCAAACCTAAATGACCATTCTATTTAACCATCAATCAATTCATTTAATTGCTTTTTCTTTACCCCCGCTCCATCCCCATCCCCATCGCCATCACCTCAAATAACCGTTACTTGTAAAACTTTCTTTTGGTAAACTTATTAAAGAGAAAATGAAAACGATGGCTCGTTTTGAGAATGAATTGACAAATTAAGCTCATTTGACTTAGTTTGGCTGTATAATTAGACCATCTTTTCAAAAAGAAAGAACCAAATTCAAACAGGAAATGCTCTAATTTTTATATATCACTCTAAAATCTATAGAAAGTAAAAAATTGCAATAGAAGAATATAGAATTACTGTTAATTTTTGCTCATGGACAGAGATGGGATTTTCTAAAAAGCGAAAAACCTAGCGAACACCCTGTGCTTGTATGTTATGTTTTCAAGAGATCCAGACTCTGAGCAGAGCTGCATGCCTCTCTCTCTCTCTCTCTCATACACACATACTCACAGCAGTTTTGCTGCTCTAGAAACTCCATACTTCTTCCATTTGGTTTAGTTTAGAGAACCCAATTCGATTAGTTTGAAAACGATTAATTAAGAAAGATTTCTCTTGCTCCTTCCAACATTTATCGTGTTCTAGTTCTATACTAAATGGAACTTCTTTTCAAAATGGCCCACTCCTTAAAGAAGATAAATGAAGTGGTGAGATTTCGAAGTTCCTTCTCCACTTTGTATTCTTTCGGTTTTTGTCGTTTGTTTTTTCTCTTCTCGTTTCATTTCAGTGTGTTGTTTGTTATGCGGTCATGTTGCGTTTGTCTCATCTCGTTGGTTGTTTTCAGTTCTTTCCTTGCTTTATGAATCTCATATTTATCAACCCGATTTGAATTACACCCCCCACCACAAAAAAGAGAAAACTGTTTTTCTGTTCTTCACGGGAGTATTCTTGACGCTTCCGAGACACTCCAAATGCCATTTCATTCATGGACACAGAATGAATTGAATCGGATGAAATGGGGTACGTAGTTGGAAGTAACCATCTACCTTCCTTTTCTTTTAACCCAATTAAATGATTGACTCGTCAGGTACTGAGAGAGTCCATACACTGCTCTCATTCAGGCCTTCACCAGCATTCGAAGTTAACTTGTGCAACTCAAATAGCCAGTTCTCAGGAAATCAGAAAAATAGAACCCAGAACCCAGAAACCAGAGAGTAGTTATATTTTGAATATTTTAATGGCACTACTCGCCACTTGACTGAACTCCATCAGAATTTGAGCATCCCCATCGTCCCCTGCCCCTTCATCCATGAAGATAACCCACCTGCTTGTTTCACATATGCCGAAGAAAACCAATAAATTCCAGCCACCGAGGTGTGTACTGTAATCCACCATGACTGATAGAGAATTTCCCCGAATTCCATGTTACATGGTCTCTGGATTAGTGGATTTGATTCCACGGTCCCCAAATTCCCATTCGTCTTCCACCACCACCATGCAAATTACTTTTTTTTTTTTTTCCTGGCAAACGTAAGAAAAAGAAAGGAGAAAAGAATCACCTTTCAACTTTCCACCTTTTATATTATCATTAAAAACCAAAGGCTGAGAGTCTCTATACCCATTAACCTTCCCTCAATTCTGGCAAAGAGATCATTCAAAAAACACTCGAATAGAGCAGCTATGAATGCCCGAGAGACGATTACAGTTATAACAGTTAAAAAAAAAGAATGTTACGTTAAAGAAAAAATCGCTAGTTTTCCTTATTTTTCTTGAATAACAATGGCATAAATTACATGAGAAAGACCCCATAATTATTACAAATATCAATTTACGCTATAAAGGAGAAAGTGAAAATGAGTGAGAAGAGATCTAAGTTACAGAGAGATGGAATTGGAAACAGAATATTTGCTTAAGTCTTCCTTCTTACTTTCTGCGGCTAGATCGAAATCCCTTCTGTTCTTCTTGCTCCTTCAGATTGTATCGAGATTATAGATCTGCTTGATAATCTGACTGAGCCATTACTAATTATGGTTGGACAATTTGTCCTTCCTAAAGAAAGCAGAAAGAAATCAGAAGAAGAAGAAGACTAGTTGAGAAAATGATTGGGGCCTTCGATTGGATGGAGTTGGAGAAGAACTGAGGACTACCGGGTGGAGTATGATAGTAAAATGGGAAGTAAGGTACAATTGGGTTCGGAGGTGGAGGCCGTGGGTAGATTCCGGCGGGTGGAGGGTACACCGATCCTCCTATGGCGCCCCCGGGCCCACCAGGCGGGTAGCCGGGCTGCCATGGCGGCAGGGGAGGTGGATAATTATTATCGGAACTCGGGGGCAAAGGCGGTGGTGGGCACTCGGATACAGACGACGGCGGGGGTGGCGACGGCGGCGGAAGTGAGGGTGGTGGCGGGGATGGTGGAGGCGGGGAGGGAATTGGGTGGCATGGATTGTCGCAGGCAGAGCACATTGTGCACTCGATCTGGTCTTTGCTAGTTGCCGTTACAGTCGTTGCAGCTGTGAAGGGCGAAAAGCTGGCTGGCAATATCAGGAAAAGACCGAGTAAACATGTTAGAGTTTGGTCGGTTCTGGCCATTCTTGGAAGAAGACGGATCAGGAAATGGAGAGAGAGAAATTCAGAGCAGATACATTGTTAGCTGAAATTCAGAGCAAAGAAGAGAAGAAAGGATTAAGGCAAGATCGGATCTATAGGCGAAGGTTTCAGAGAGCATGCAACAGACGAAGGAAAAAAGCTTCTTGTGTGGTGAGAGAGAGAGAGAGAGAAATGGAGTGCGTTGCAATAATGGGTGAATGGGCTTTTATCTTTTACGCAACGCCATGTCTCCTCTTTCCATCTTGACAAAAAAAAAAAAAAAACAAAAATCAAATAAAGGGACCGCAGACGTTATGACTTATTGGGTTAGAGGTGAAATTTTTAATTTTTAGTTGCTTTTTAACTTTTTTACTTTGGTAAGAAGTAAAAACAAAAAAGATGCTTTATTGCCCAATAGCGAGTGATTCTGTGGAGTGGAAGGTGGAGGGATGGGGACGAGGGGATATTCTCTCATTTAATTATACTTTTGATATTCTGAATTGTAGGATAAGATTGATACTGAGTTCTTATTGGCTAAAGTTGTGTTCCTTCTTTTCATGTGTCAGAAACTTTGACTTTTTGACTTTTTTTTTTTTTTTTTTACATGAGATGAGGGACAAGACTCAAGTGTCGGTCGGTGTCGGTCTGGCGATCAACGGCGGTCCACCGACCATCGTTGTCCAGGCTGGTCCCGTAGGGAGACGTCCCCGCACCACCAGATAAACAGATGTTGTCAACCGAGGTCCGAGACGAAACAAAAGAATATGGTCGACGTTTTCTTCTTTTCTATTCCTTTTTTCTTATATTCATTCAAATTTCATATTGTGCACATCACATGGATGATGGATGGGTGGCTTCCTTTTTGTTGCTGCTGTAATATATAATGTTTATGCTTATAAGTCATATTTATTCAAATATTTCAATTTTTAATTCTAATAAGTGAGTTAAAGCATTTAAATTAAAATATAGCAAAAACATTTTTCAAATTTAAATTTACAATCCTTCTTTTTTTAATCTTTTAATACTTTCAATTTTTATGTAAACACATGCACGTGTATATATCAAATTATCAATGGCGGGTTTGTCTTTTTGTAGGTGGCCGACACAGGGTAAGAGTAATTCTAATTCAAATTGAATTATACTGAGGAGTGGATAGACATGGACTTTCCCCTTAAACTAAGGACTAGAGCTGTGTAGCAGTACGATTGATTTTATCTTATTGTGTTAGAAGGATGAAGGATCCACGAAATCGACTTTCTCGTTTCATATGGCCTACTGAGTACTGGCCCATTAAATTAAGGGCCCATTTGGTCTGTAGGAATAGAGGTGTGGAATTGGATTCTATCCGTTTGGTTGGGTGGAATCAGAATTCCATTCTTGGCATTCTTATTCCCTTTTTATTAGGAAATGAAATCCTATTCCAATTGATTCAAATTCTAATTTTGATTTTCATTTGAACTAAACAATCTATAGAAATAGACCATTCCAATTCTGAGTGATTTCTGACGAGGGGTAATTTGGTTCTCCTAATCACTTCGTGGCACATGTCCTTCAAGTAACACCTCAACACTGAGTAAGTAAGCTAGTTCGGCAAGTTAACCTGAAGCACCTTGCCTAGGCCGACCTCCACCTCGGCCGAGCCGAACTAGCAAGTCCCCTAGCTCATGGCGACCTATCTCAGAGACTGGCCAGCCCGTTGACTTAAACTGATAGCGCGTTACTAGCCTGAAATCCCCGTAACGTTAATACCTCGATCGTTAGACCAGCATACCACATCGCTTACCTCAGAGTTATTTGGGCAATTCGTAACCTCCGTGTAGATCTCGCAACTAACATATTAGTACGCCTAACTAAGCTGAAATGGCTCCACAAGAAAGTGATACCCCTTGTGAAGGGCTCTGACCTACGAAACCTATATAAATCACTCATTTCTACCTGAGAAAGTACACGCAATAATACACTCTCAAGCTCTCTCATTCTTTCAAAGTACTTTCTAAACACCTTTTGATTTTAGCATCGGAGTGCTCTCCCCGGATAAAAACAACCCAGGCACTCTAATATTCTCTCTTGCATACATCAGTTTGGCTACTTCCAGCTCGGCCTGACACACCTCGGCCGAATCATCAGTTAGTGTCCAAATCTTCTGACACGAGAGAGCAACCAAATCATGCAACATCAATTTCGATTTCAATTTTGATTCTAGATTCCATAAGCGAAGCAAATTGACCCTAAATGTAAGGCTAAGTCTCCAAAGATCAATACCAACTATGCAATGGTAATATTCAGAAAAACATGGGGTATTTGAGTCCGGGTCTGCTAATTAACATTGGAATACAATAAAATATCTAAAAGCCATTTAGTTAGATCGAGTAAACTGTTGCCCCATTGAGCTATTTTATCAACAATTCTATTATAAGATCTACATAAACTAAATATAATAAAAATTTTATGTTACATGTACTAAAAACTTTTGTATACATATATTTTGATTTGATTCGATTTAAATATACACATTATATATGCTTAAAATTTATATTGTATATATTAGTAAAGTTCAGTTAAATATTGTGTTAACATGATATATCATTTTCATTTAATCTCTTAATGCTATTCAATATCCAATTGCAATCTGAATTTAATATAAATCCAAATGATAAATTTTAGTTTGAATCCAAATATAAAATAATCAAATTAATTTGGATTTACCTTTAACAATCAAAACTCAAGATGACTAAGGTCCCATCTTGTTCGTGGGAGTAGGGGTCTTGAATCAGAACCGGAATGGGCTATTGCAATTCCAACTGCTTAATTAGGTAGAATCAGAACCAGAATCCTATTCCTATTCTTGGTGGAATGGCATTCCCCCATTTGTGGGAGTGGTCATTCCCTTTTCCTCCCTTGGGAATGAAATCTCATTCTTATTGATTCCGATTTTATTCTCATTCCTGTCTGAACCAAACAGATTATGGAAATAGACCACTTTGATTCTGATTCCAATTCTGATCGTGAATCAATAAAATAAGATAAATTATGGATTGATCATGTACATAAAAAATTATATACGAGATCTATAGAAAATAATCTGTTACAAGATGAAAGGGCTAGAAGGCCTAGATACAGACCAAAGAGGACATTAGTTGGAATATTGAGAAATGATCTAAATTCTTGTATTTGCATACCAAAAAAAAAATTAAATGCTTGTAATTTAACATTAGATATATGTAACTAAACAAAATGGAATAATGAAATAGGATTCATCTAACCGATTGCCATATAATAGGCTAATGCTTAGATGATGATGATATTATTACTATCAGATCATGGGCTTGTTTGCTTTGACATAAACTTGCACAGTGGAATAATGATATGTTTAATTTCAGCAGTGTTGTCGATCTCTAATGTGCGGTATGCCTGAATCCACTTTGCCCCACATAGTGTGGTTGAAATTAAACATATTGTATGAAGTTTTGAACCATACCACACTCGTAAGGTGTCTTACACTGTAATATGATATCTTGTATTTCAAAACCAAAATAGGCTCATCGTATACGAATCATCGCTAAATTGCTCATGCCAATAGAAAACAAAGAACATAATACATGACTCGTGAGTCTGCCTGCCCCACCCACAAGCTGAAGGGGAAGGTGGCCAGGTGGGGTGACCTAAAGTGATGGGTTTGATGACGTGAGTTTGCTACTTAGTTGTTTTCCTCGTATCATATCATGATTGTGAAGTCCACACGGAATATAGTGACATATCTATATATATACACTAAATAAGAAGGATGTCACGTCATGGCCTGAGCATTCTCCCTTATTACCCCAAGGGAGAACTCTCAGCCCCTCTCATTTTAGTCTTCCTTGCTTCCTCCACAAGTCACCTCATCACTCCATTCTCCCTCTCTTATAATGATATCTCATCATGCTTGTTCCACCCCTCTTTCTCCATGTTTATACCTTTGGATATCCCTTCCTAAAATTCTCTCTACCAAAATCTCATCTAATCTAGCCAAGTGGCACCACTATCCCACACATTCTCCTAAATTATATCTAGTAAAGTTTTTCTTATAAATTGTCTATAATTCTTATTTATCCTCTCCCCACTTTCATCTATATCTATCAAAAGAAAGTTTGAATTAAAAAAAATTAAGAATTATTTAAATATTATAAGGAAATTATGTAATAACTTTAAAATATTTATTAAAAACACAAGTAATATCATAGATTTAATAATATACATATTATTAATAATTTTATACTTTTATGAAATTCAAAACGAAATTATGTACTAACAATAATTTTACGAATTATTCAATTTAAATATTATTTAAATAATAATTAAAAAATATTATTTTAAAATTTTCATTAACTAAATATTATAAATAAAAATATTAAAAATAGATAAATATTATATAACAAAATATTTAATACTAGTAATAACTTTAAAATAAATAAAATTTAAATAATGAAAATTTTAAATATTTTACATTTTCTTTAAATAATTAATTAACTAAATATTTAACATAACTAAATTTGAAATAGTTATGGGGATATTTAAAATAATGAAATATTTTAAACTTAAAAAATTAAGTTTAAAAATTACAGTGGCATTATTAAAAAATAAATCAAAATACTTAAATTTACAATATAAAATATTTTAGACTAAGGAATATAAAACTGAACAACTCGACAAGTTGGTGTGATATCCCGAGCTTGAATTGGTGTGATGGAGGGGAAAATGAAGGAATTTTTTTGTTGAAAGAGTGTTGTTTTTGAGCATTATGGTGTAATTAAGTGGTGTGATGGTGTAATTTGGTAGAGGGGGAAATTAAAGACTTGATCCAGTCAATGTAAATCTTCTGAAATAGAATCTTGGTGTAATTGAGAGGCAAACAAAGGTATTTTGGGCTGACTTTTTATGGGTAGGGTTTTTAGGGTGTCTAGGATCTTATGGAAGCATCTGATTGATTTTGGAGGGCCAAAATCATAAAAATTTGGGTCAATTAGAACATCCAAAATGGAATATTTGTTCGATGATGGGGCAAATGGGGGAATTTTAGGTTAAACAATTATGGGTAGATGTTTTTGGTGTGTCTAGGGTTGTGGGTGCTTCAAGATAACGAGAGTGTTCGAAAGGGAATCTTGGTTTGATAAAAGAATAATCAGAGGGGAATCTTGGGTTGAAATTTTAGGGGTAGATATTTTAGAAGGTCCTAGGTCTGATGACAGTGTTCAGGGTAA